AGCAGAGCAAGCCCCTGCCACCCCGTTGTGTGGCTCTTGGGTCTGAGCCCCGCCTGCCCTCAGACCTCATCCCTGCCTCTGCGCACTGAAGAGGGCGGGCCCTCCGGAGCCTGGATCGAAGCCCCAGACCAGACCCACCTCCTAGGACCTGGCCAGCATCCTCCCGATGCCTAGTTGCCTGGTCCGAAGGGGGTGGGGAGGGTTCTGGTAACTACTCGTGTAAGATGCAGGATGCTAGGCTTTCCATTTGCCTTGAGACCCCCACCGCTGAAGAAATACTATGAGAGGGAAAATAAAGGTTTAAAAATACGAGGCTTTGACCACAAGGCACACTGAGGGCGACAGTGAGCACACAGAGACCATCACTGAGACATTCCATCTCCTCGGGAACACCAGGTCAAGGCCGACGTCCTGCAGAGTGTGGTTGGCTAGACACAGGGCCCTATGTGGGTAGCCGCTGCAGGTCCTCCCTGCTTTGCAGCTGAGGTCCTGTCCTGCTGATGCAACCTCAGCACCAAGCAGTAGTGGGCAGGAATGTCTGAGCTCTATGTCCCTCCACTGGGAATCGAACCTGGGCCTTCAGTTTGTTAGGCAAGCTCTGCCATTGAGCTCACTGTCCCCTAGCTCCCTTGCATGCTCTGTTTGGATTTTATTAGTTTTTGAAACAAAGACTCACTTTGTAATCCAGGATGTTGGCCAACTTTTTGTGTAGCTCAAACTCTATCCTCCTGCCTCAGTGCTGGGAATTACAGGTGGGTGCCACCGAAAATCCACAGTCCCGACCCTTGCATGACTCAAGTCACATATGAAGAATTTTGCATGTGAAGGTGGCCCAGACTAGAGGCTCCTCAGCCCAGGTTATCCTGGGGGTAGACCTAAGTGTGTGAATGAGAACCAGGGTGTGGGGGGCAGGGAGGGATGGAGATAGGACTACCTGCCTTTACCCTCTCTCTTCAGGTCTCAGAATTATTGGAACACTTGGAAGGGAGCACACAGCAAAACTGAGTGGGCAAGGGAGAGCAAACTGTCTCAGGCCTCTGACACCGGAATGCAGACTGCAGAATAGAACAACAGGCCCTTTTGAGGTGGTCACATATCAGATATCCTGCATATCAGATATTTACATTCATGATTCATAACAGCAGCAAAACTACAGTTAGGAAGTAGTAACAAAGATAATTTTATGGTTGGGAGGATCCCCACAACATGAGGAACTGTATTAAAGGGTCTCAGCATTGGGAAGGTTGAGAATCAGTGGAATAGAGGGATTTCTAATGTCTCCCTCTGTGGTGCTCATGCTCGCCTGCCCTTGACTGCAGCCTAACATGGGCTGCATCCATGACTTACTTCCTAGACTCTAAAGCTCCCTGGTGTAAGTCAAAACCCAAACAGATACTGAGCAATGGTCTCATCCACCTGGCAGGGGCTTTGTTTCCACTCTACCACCCCTTCCCCCTTTCTACGCCTGTATCTTTGAAGTTATTTATCTAGCACATTTTAGCTAAGTGTCTCCTTCTACATTATTCTCTGGTACCGAAATAACTCCAGCTACCTTCATGTTTCCCATCTACAAGTAATCAGAGGGGGTATAAACAAAGACATGGGCTACACAGGGGTCTATGATGTTTTAGGTTTGCTTTGGGTGTTGTTAAATGGAGGGAGGGCTGGATAGGTGGAAGGATGAATTCACACCAAAGTGTGTGTGTGGGGGGGGGTCTACTTTGAGACTAGCAGATGTTCTGTTAGATACTACAAAGGACAGAATGGCAGTTATCCTGTGTTTTAATTGATGCAATTAAATAATGTTAATAGTGAGGCCATAAGTAGAATTTGGGGATAAGAAGGCTCTAGGTTCAGGCTAAGATACAGTTGTATAATCATTATCAAGATGCCCTTGTTTTGGACTGTGTAGATAAAACACCATTCTAGGGTACCATGGGAAAGCCTCATCACTAGCTGGATGGCTTTATCACCAAAAAAACCCAACAGCTCCCCTATTACCCACGTGTTCTGGCATTGATTAGTTCTTGATTGATTGGGGCCTTCTGGATATTGGTCCTTGATCTATTCTAGTTTCTGGATCACACATGTTTGTATTAGTTGCTTTGCCTACATGGTAGGATGTCATGGCGGCAAGAGTTCAAGGCAGCCAGTTCTACTGTATTAACAGTCAGGAAGTGAAGGAAGACTGGTACTCAGCGCTGGTACTCAGCTTCTGCCCCCTTTTTATTCAGCCCCAAACACCAGCTCACATACTAGTGCCATCCACATTTACTGTGGGCCTTCCCAGTTCGATTCATTAGAAACTCCCTCACAGACATTCAGGGAAGCTTGTTTCCATGGTGATTGTAAATCCTATCAAGTTAATCAAGATCAAACATCGAGCTGCTCTCCCCTGCCACCGCTTTTCTCTGTACATGAGCTCGTCTGTGGCATGGGATCAGAAGAAAACAGCATCTACCCTGGGCTCCCAGCCCATCAAGGCATTCCTGCTTGCCAGGTGGGGTCGTGCTCTACCCCCTGGTTTTCGTGGTGAGCCAGGTCACACAAGCTTTAGATACTCCTAGGTTTGGCTGACCATGGCTGTTGAGAACCAGGTGATCCCTTAGTCCTTCAATAATCTGAGCTAGTGTGTCAGCTGCTTAGACCCCCTTGGTCTATCTGTCTCCCTTTCTCTCACCATACCCCCTTTCATATGCTCATCAAATATGCAAGAACAAATAGCTATCTATGGATAAAAGGACTACCTACCTCAAACACTATGCTGGTGAAGAGTCGGGGAAAGCAAGCCAAACTCAGAGTTTTCTATTGTACTCTCACAATACAGTTCAATAATGTAATCCTAAATGTGTGGGTGTTTCTCCCAACTAGCACACAAACAACCAGAGGACAGCAGTGCCTGCTGGACATCAAATCCATTTTTATCTGCATGGAGACAGCGTCAGACCCCACAGGCTGAGGGCTCAGCTCCGTAAGACTGTCCCCAACTTCAGGCCAGTTGCAAAGGAGGTAGCCAGCTGCAAATTGGGATTTCCAGAGATTTATGACTGCCAAGGTATCATCTGGCACACTGCTGCCCCCCTGTGCAGAAGTCCGGCCTAGCATCCACGATGAACAGGAAGTGTTAGGTCTGCTTTGATGACCCTAGGGGAGGTGGCTGATCTGCCTTGCAAAATGTAGTTTAAATTACAGACCGGATGCATCAGGAGCAAATGAAATGGTTATGACTGCATGTCATTAAATGGAGGGTGACTTCAGTTACCTGAGATTACAGTTGTGGGAGTTTCCATTGACATTCAGTGTCATTTTGTTTTAGGTATACTCAACCTTAGCACAACTGATGACATGTTGGAGGCACATTCTGATCTTAGAACCCAGTACGTAGGCCCCAATACATGACAAAAAACGGGAACAAAGACCCAATCCATCAAAGACCTAATCTGTAGTTCCAGGATCTGGGAAGGTCCCTAAATGTACTAATCTTGCTTTTTGGCTTCTGTAGTTACACTTCTCATTAACTGTTCTTGCTAACTGAAGTGTGTTAACCAGGATGCGGTATGTGTTTGTGCATAAAAGGCAAAGAACGGTGAGGCTTCGGGCTGCATGATTTGGGCAAGTCCCCCATGCAGTCACTGGATGGCAATACAGACTTTCTATTTTAAGAGAGTCTGTGTGTTTTCTGGTGGAATTACTTCACAACAGTGCCTCACATGAATGGCACATGGGTGAATTTTAAGCAAATTTAAACAAGCTTCTTATTTAGTAGATGGGTCCATGCCTTCCATATTTAATTATTAATATAATTGTGTTGCTGAAAGGAAGAATTCTTTAGGCCAGTCAGAGAAGGTTCTGAGAGTGGCAATCTGCATTGAAATCTAAGGTGTTTACAAAGCAAGGGAACTTACACACACACACACACACACACACACACACACACACACACAAGAATTAATAGACATCTGCTTAATCCATTTCAGGACCTCCCAAAGCCAATAAATTTCATGTCCTGCCTTCCGATCCTACCTACATTGGTTTGGTGTATTGGGCCAAATGTTGGACTCCACTCCAAACCCATGGCCTTTTTTGGATATTATTGGCAGTACTTACACCGACATCTTGTTTTGGGTTTTCCAATGATAATACTGTGATAGTTTTCAATTGATGCTAAGACACAAAATTAGTGGTTAAAAATAATGCCAGAAAGCCAGGCCTGGTGGCAATATCTTGGGGAATATTGTTTTAAGGTGTGTTACTTTTGTTTATGTTGCATTTGTTTAACTCTGTAAAGCTGTGTTACTGTGCCTGTCTAAAACACCTGATGGTCTAATAAAGAACTGACAGCCAATAGTGAAGCAGGAGAGAGAAACAGGTGGGGCTGGTAGGCAGAGAGGAGAAATCTGGGAGAAAAGGGATCTGGGAACAAGAGAGGGAGGAGGACTTCAGGGGCCAGCCACACCACCATGAAGCTGTACAACCAGACATGGAGTAAGAAGGAAAGAAAAGATATACAGGAATAGAGAAAGGTAAAAGCCCCAAAGACAAAGATGGATGGGATAATGTAAGGTAAGAAAAACTGGCAAGAAACAAGCTAAGGCCGGGCATTCATAGCTAAGAATAAACCCTCATGTGTGATTTTTTGGGAGCTGGGTGGTGGGCCCTCCCAAAGTCAAAAGACTAAAGAGCAAAAAGAGTAAAACATCACACAACACCAATGGCCTATAAAACTAGCTACTGGAGGCTGAGGCAGGGTAGAAAATTCAAGATTGTTTGGGCTACTGAGGAAGTCCAAGGCTGAGCTGGGCAACATAGGCAGACTACATCTCAAAATTAAAAAAAATATTAAGAGGAGGCAAGGTGGCGAAGTGGGCAAAGGTAGTTGCCACCATGGAGTTCGATCCCTGGGACCCATATTGATGGAAAGACAGAACTGACTCCTGAAATTGGCCTCTGACCTCCAAATACATCCCATGATGCAATGATCAATAAATATACATATTAGATAAATGTGATAAAATTTTTTTATTTAAAGGGGAAGGGAATATAGCTCAATGGTAAAACACTCGCCTAGTATGCACAATGCCCTAGATTCAGTAATGAAAAAAAAAGAAAGAAAGCAATGCCTCATCATGTACATCAATTTATGATCTTGGAGTTTAAAATAATGCCAGTCTGAATGGTGAATGTCTAGGTATTGTTAAAGCTTCATCTACTCTGGCAGACTGCTCTGTGTCTTTCTACATTCTGGAAGCTGCCTGTATTCCTTGGCTTGATCAATCCTGCTGTTATGGGTATGGGGCTCTCAGTTCTCAGGCAAGAGAACAATTTAAGCAAAATTTTATTATTTATGAATATTTATTAGGTAGGTGGCACAGCTGTGGATATTTTATAAATATTTATGAGGTGGTTGACAATGTCATGGGGTAAGATGACCCCTTTCCCTCTCAAAAAACAGTGGACAGGATCTCCACTTCTGGATATTTTCCCCCATGTTCCTCTAGGAAAACCCACACAGGGAGAGGGTCAAGGGCCACAGTGCAAATGATGTTATAAGGAAGGCAGGGTCTTTGGTAGATGCAGACCCTTCGCTATCGCACATGTGTGAAAAATGCATTGTTTTCCAATCTAACAGAAACAACCCAACTGCAGCCTCAAGGATTTTTCACCAGAAGAGATGCTGTGAGAATCACAGTTCCCAAGATCCAGCTGTGGTTTTCCTTAGTTACCTCATACCTAACTCCCTGCCCAACATTATCACTGCTTTGTTAAGGCACACCTCCATCCTTTGTCATTGTCACCACATTGTCACTCCCCTGACTCTTCATCCTCCTCTCCATCATGAGAGTCCCAGGGATTCTATAAGACCCACTCAGGATGAACCATGACCTTCTTCCCATCCTGTGTCTTCAGTGTAATCTACAAAATCCCCTTTAAGGCCTAAGATAATGTACTTGTGGATTCTAGGGGTTGGGACGTGGAGCTCTGGAAGACGGAAGGTGTAGTTGTTAACAGTGGTCGTCAACTTGATGACAGAATCTAGAATCTCTTAGAATGCAAGCTTTCAGGCACACCTATGAAGAATTATCCAGATCAGTTCTCAACCAGTTGGTCATTCGGCCCCCTTTCACAGGGGTCGTATATCAGAGAGCCTGCGTATCAGATATTTACATTATAATTTGTAACAGTAGCAAAAATACATTTATGAAGTAGCAACAAAAATAATTTTATGGTTGAGGGTCACCACACGAGGAACTGTATTAAAGAATCGCAGTGTTAGGAAAGTTGAGAACCACTGCTGTAGATTAAGTTTAACCTTTGAGAATGTGTGCTGGCTAGGTTTGTTTGTTTTTGTTTTGTTTTGTTTTGTTTTTTGGTGACTTGGTACAGGCTACAGTCATCTGGGAAGAGGGACTATCAGCTGATAAGTTGCCTCCATCAGATTGGCTTGTAGGCAATGTTTGTGGGCTTTTTATTGATTAATGATTGATATAGGAGGGCCAGCCCACTGTGGGTGGTGTCACCCCTAGGCAGGTGGTCCTGGGTTGTTTAAGAAACTAAACTGAGCAAACCCTGGAGAGTGAGCCAGTAAGCAGCACTCCTCTATGGTTTTTGAAACAGTTCCTGATTCTGCCTTGAGTTTCTATCCTAACTTTCCTCAAAGATCGACAATAATCAGGATGTGTAAGCCAAGTAAACTCTTTCCTTTCCAAGTTGCTTTTGGTAATGATCTTTATCACAACAATAGAAATCAAACTAAGACTCAATATCTGTTCAGGAGTGCCTTCATTTGGGAAAACACACCCGCTGTGGGTGGCGCCATTCCCTGGGCCACCCTGGAGTGTATAAAGAGGAGAAAGTGACCTGAGCACAAGCACTTGTTGCTTTCTGCTCAAGAAAGCAACCAACTATGCAGCAAAAACCAAAACCCTAAAATAATTCTGCAGATCTTCCAATTTGACAGAACCGTTTTGGAAGCTCCTGGGTGTTTGTGACCAGTACCCACAGTAGTATCAAGATACCAGCTGTCTGCCCATGGTGACTGCTCTGGGGCTCCTCGTGTAGGATTTGGCTTCTGTACAGCAACATTTGCACTTCTTAATACATAACCATGATGCAACGCTGGCTAAAAAGAAGAAATAGAAAAAGGTTGATGAAACAAAGAAAACAAGGACCATAAAATGGTAGTTCTATAAATCTGAATCAAAATGAGCTTCATTCAGCAGACTCTCATATTGCATTCAGCTAATCAAAGTGTTTGTATGGCTCATCACAATGCCTCTTGAAGAGCAGAAACCAAAGCCATGAAGGGAAAATATAGCAGCCATTACATGCTATTTGACCTTCCATTGTCAGGAGTAAGGACAGTTACAGCCTGCTCTTGTAATTTGCCGGATGGCACATGCACACAGCAATTGGAACTCATTTTGTTCATCTCATCATTTAAACACAAAAACATGGTATTAAAAACTTTTTTTCTGTGCAAAAGGCATAAATTCCAAACATTCATTTAGGAAACAGTTTTTGTCTATTTCTGATGCCACAATGAGTCATTGCATTTCATACATTTTAATGTACAGTACATTCATCTCTGTGCCAAGATGACATGTTATTTTAAAACTTATCTGTTAACACAGCAAGCCTTTCCCTTACCTTACATAATTAAACATTTTATTATTGGGTATATGGAAAAGATTGAGACTCTTTTTACATTACAGGCATCACAGGTTTTTAACTACCCCTTGCCTAAATAAAATTTTATTATTTTATTTTATTCTTTTTTAAAAATCGCTGCTTTATTACACAACTTACATAATAATTCAAATGATTTCAGGTTGATGGCATAGGCTGGTAGAACCTGCACTCTGAAGGCAGAGACAGGACGATTCTGAGTTTATGGCCAGCCTGGGTTACATAGTGAGACCATGTCTAAAAAGTTAACTTCAACATGTTTGGAAGAGTTATGTGGGGAAAATATTCTCCAGTCAAAATTTCGGTATTTAGAGACGAGGAAAATGGTGCAAGAGTCTTGAACCCCTTACTATGAATAAAGACCAGTGAGGTTTATGGGTGAGATTCTTCCTTCCCTGCTCTCTCAAGGCAGCCTGAGGACAGGGTAGGCAGTCTATAGGGTCCAGAAGGTTTCACCTGTGGTCCTGGCACCCTCTCTCCTACTCCCATCTCAGTATCACCCCTCTAGGTTCCTCCCTCAGAGCCTTAATTTCTTTAGCATCCAAGTTATTCATGTTCCCTTTATGAGGTACCGTCTTCCCCTCTACAAAGTGGGATCTCCCATTATCTGTACATACATATACATAGTGCCTGATTGCCACTATCTGCTCAGAGCAGATACACAATGGGGATTGGCGAGGGGGGGGGACGCAAAAGGAAGCTGCATTCTCAGCAGTAACTCTACGGCTCGTGATTTATCTGGTGGCTCTGCCTGAGACTCAGGGTGTCTTAGTGTTCTATTGCTGTAAAGAGACACCATGACCAAGGAGGCTCTTACAAAAGAAAGCATGTAATTGGGGAGCTTGCTTATCCTTTCAGAGGTTTAGTCCACTATCGTCATGGAGGGGAGTGTGGTGACATGCAAGCAGGTGCTGGAGCAGTAGCTGAGAGTTACATCATGACGGCAGGCAGAGAGAGACTATGGGTTTTAGCATGGGCTTTTGAGACCTCAAAGCCCACCCCTAGTGACATACTTCCTCCAACAAGGCCACACCTCCTCCAACAAGGCCACACCTCCTCCAACAAAGCCACACCTCCTAATCCTTCTTAAGCAGTGCCACTCCCTGATGACTAAGGATTCAAATATATAAGCCACAGGGGCCATTCTTACTCAAACCATCCCACAGGGGCAGATTCCCCAAATGCTAGTGGATTTGTTTACAGCATCTTCACAACGTTCTTATTTACTGGGAACTGTGTCCCTTTTACAGCACCAAGAAACAAATAATTCCTACCCAACATGTATTTACTTTCTTAACTATTTCCAACTTCGGGGAGAAACTTTCTTCAAAGTCGATGCTGCCTTCATTTACCCTGGACTTCCCCACCTATACCCCCAGGATCCCAGAGGCTAGCATGCTGCAATCTGCTTCCCATCTTATGTTGATATGCTTGAGACCTAATGGATCTGTAGGGTGCTGGCCGTCCCTTTCTGGTGTGTCTCCTGAATTTTACAGAACCATCTGGGGGTCCTCATCTGGCTCCTTTCCCTACAGATAATCCAGTGTGCACATGGACACAGGACAGTCCACTGTTTTGTTTGTTTGAAGATTTATTTATTATATATACATTGTTCTGCCTGCATGTATGCCTGCAGGCTAGAAGAGGATGTCAGATCTCATTATGAATGGTTGTGAGCCATCTGCAGGTGCTGAGAATTGAACTCAGGACCTCTGAAAGAGCATCCAGTACTCTTAAACTCTGAGCCATCTCTCCAGCCCTGTTCTTTTGTTTTGTTGTTTTGGGAAACGGTTTCTCTGTATAGCCCTGGCTGTCCTGGAGCTCGCTCCTGGTGCCTCTGTCTCTGGAATGCTAAGATTAAAGTTGTGTACCACCATGACCAGCTCTGTTTTTGTTGTGGTTCAGTTTTGAAACATGGTCTCATACTGTAGTCCACACTGCACAGAACAGTGGTGCAGCTGACCTTGAATTCACATCAATCCTCCTGCCTCATCTGAGTGCCTGAATTACAGGTGAGAAGTACCACATCTGGCTGACCATTCAGCTTCCTAAAAACACCTTCATTGATCCAGTCGTGGGAAGAATCCGTTATGTCCACATTGTCAACCCTACCGCCAGTACCTCTCCTGCTCAAATGTTAAGGCTTTCTGAAGTTGGGTACCACGCTACTGTTTAACATTTATCACCCCAAACTTGTTACCACGCTGATGACCACAGTAGTGGCCTTTACTCCATCGCCACCTGTCACATCTAGTGTCCCGATCAATCTACTGTTTGCTCTTCTGGTTTTCTCTCTTTTAGGAGAATAGAGGTCACCAAACAAGGTGACCAACGTATTGGCAGGAGCTTAGGTGGCAATTTGAGTGGAAGCCTGACCCCAGGACAGGGGTACTGGGAGTCGGGTAGGGGGTGGGAAAGAATTGCAAACCGCCTGAGGAATGCTCTGTGGTTATTGAGTGAGGTATGCAACGTACCTGGGACAAACAAAACACCCTCAAGTTGTTGTTTTAAGAAGAAACAAATGATTCCATAGAATACAACGAATATCATAGACCCAGCACGGATTCTATTCATTTTTACCCCGCTTCCGCAGTAAAGGGTGATTTTTACACTTTCTGAGCATCTACTCAGTGTAGGAAGTGTAGGTTTCATGCCACTGATAAAAGAAAATTAGTTTCTTGACCATATCCATTCTCCTTTACCCCCCCCATTTGTCTCCTTGCCAAGTAGCCTTCCTGCTACTTTTGACTTTTTAAACATTTATTTTTTTCAAAATAAAGTGTAGGTGTGTGTTTGTGCACGCCGCAGATCTCCCCCGAACTTGAGTTAAGGGGCAGGGTGAGACGCGGGTTGTGGGTGATGGGAACCGAACCCTGGTTCTCTGCAAGAGCGGTACTTTTGACCTCCGAGCCGCCTCGCCAGTCTCTCCCCTTTGTATTTTCATAAAGCACGGCGTTTTAAAAATTCTGGTTTTAAGAAAGAAACAGATATTCCGAGGTTTCTAGCTCTTTGGGTTTTAAACGGTGGAACTTAGTTTTAAGATGAAAAGAAAGGAAAAACCTGCAGCTTGGACCCCCGAGGCCCCTCGGGCTGAGCCGCCCGCCGGGGCTGTCTGCGCGGTTCGCCTTCTCGCCATCGGAAGGGCGGGTCGGGGGGGCGGGGGCGCCTCCCCCCGGGGGGCGCCCGCGCCGCGGCGCGGCCGGCCGCCCCCCCCCCGCTCCTC